TCACATTTCTCAGAACGGGTGTGACAAAATATTTATGAATAGCTGCCCTTGAATCAAAATAATATTCTAAAAAGGTGGCACCAAATGTAAAGTCGACTCTTTTTGAATGTTATAGTCTGATAAAGTACGACCATCCTCTAATTGTTTGCCTGCAAAAATAAGACGTTGCTGATCTGGTGGAATTCCTTCCTTATCTTGAATCTTTTGTTTCACTTGGTCAATAGTGTCGGACGATTCAACTTCGAGAGTGATGGTTTTACCAGTGAGCGTTTTTACGAAAATTTGCATACCACCACGGAGACGGAGCACCAAATGAAGAGTAGATTCCTTTTGAATATTATAATCAGACAATGTACGACCGTCTTCCAACTGTTTACCAGCGAAAATAAGACGTTGCTGGTCTGGTGGAATTCCTTCTTTGTCCTGAATTTTTTGCTTAACCTGGTCGATAGTATCAGACGATTCAACCTCAAGGGTGATGGTCTTACCGGTAAGAGTTTTTACAAAAATTTGCATGCCACCTCGAAGACGTAAAACGAGATGGAGGGTTGACTCCTTTTGAATGTTATAATCAGACAAGGTACGACCATCTTCCAATTGTTTACCAGCGAAGATGAGACGTTGCTGGTCTGGGGGAATTCCTTCCTTGTCTTGAATCTTTTGCTTAACTTGGTCAATGGTGTCAGATGACTCGACCTCAAGAGTAATGGTCTTACCGGTAAGAGTTTTAACGAAAATTTGCATATTTGTTTGTTATTGTAACGCTGAAAACAAAAAGTTGGTTTGGATAGTGAATATAAGTTTGAAAATAAAAGAATTTGGAAGGGGAGGGGGGTTTACGGTCCCTTTTATAATGCATTGGAACAATAACTATTACTAATGTGATTATATCAGAAGGTTCTAGAATGATCTACTCAGAAAATGGTTATGATCAATCTGAACATCTGATTAATGACTCTCTTTAGAGCATCTAGCTATGCAAGGGCATGGAGAACTCCGATATTGTATCAGGTCAAACAACCAAATTTTGTTTTTGTTAGACCGAGATCCCGTGTTTTATCTACCACAGTGACTCAGCAACTACCACCTTTTACGACAAAACTAAAAAATTTTATCATTGGAACTGTCAGCGTCGTATTTGGTGTCACCTTTTTAGAATATTATTTTGATTCAAGGGCAGCTATTCATAAATATTTTGTCACACCCGTTCTGAGAAATGTGA